GTGCTATCTCTTCATGTTGTGCTTTTGCTCTAACACAAAGAGTCATGTGTATACTTTTGCACTTCTCATTTTTTAGCTATCACGACACAACTCTAGTTTCATCGAGTTAGACATATCTAAAACCACTAAAAAGTTATGCCATGCAACTCTAGAGTAAAACAGATGACTAAAAAGTTGTGCACAATGATATGTACACTTAATACACCATACACGTATCTCCACATTTCTTTGGACAAAAGGTTATATATATATATATATATATATATTTATTCTAATAACTAAACAGATTACAGTCTACCCGTTAACCAGATCCAAAATCCGAGAATATCCTCACCCTGAACTCTAGAACCGGAGATTCCTACCTGATGAAGTGATGCGGCGACACTCCAACGGAAAATCCCGAAACTATCCCTCAGCCCGTTATCCTTTTACCGTGTGTTTGGTTTGCGGGTTCAACTGGGATATCCCGGGTCCGTCCCAGATGATCTGTTGTTTGGTTCCAGAATCAGTGGGTTGGGTTCATCCCGCACAAGGTATATTCTCTCTGGATGCGGGTTTGACCGGTACCACCAAATCGGAGGAATCATCTCGACCAGATGGACGTCGTTGCATCTCCGTTGGCGAGCGCAGACGCGGGTTGCTCGGATGCTTCTCCATCGCCGGCATGGGCGACCTCCGACGCCTAGCGATGTCCGAATGCTTCGGCCATGGCGCAGCTCCGTGCGACCTCCAGCCCTCGGCCCCGACCTCGGCACGGGGATTTGCCCCTCGCCCTTGGCCCTCGGTAAACCCTCAAAGCCCGTCCATGGTGGCGTGGCGCGAAGCGCTCTTTGGCCTCCGGATCCGGACGAGCGGCGGGTGACGGGCGGCTAGGGCAAAGGCGGCCTTGGCCTCGAGGAGGTGGCGGCAGGGGCGGGCGAGCCTGAGCTCGAGGAGGTGGCGGCCATGGCGGGCGCGAGCTCTAGCTTGGGAGGTGGCCATGGCGGGGCGCGGCTACAAGGTGCATGCATGCAGCAGCCAGCGAAGCGACAGCGGTGCGCCCCGTTAAGGCGGCGATCGACGAGAGGTGGAAGAAAAGGGAGGAGTCACTGACAGCTAGGTCCCACGCAGATAGCTACTAACGGAGTTAACAGTACCATCCATCCTAACCCATTCCATCACTTTTACCAAATAGAAAACTAGAACGACTCCTACCCTCAATCTAAACATGAGATGGGTTCATCCCATCCAGAAAATTAGGTTCATCCCAACCCAACCCACTTGCTCTCCAAACCAAACACACGCTTAGTCCCCACCCGATCAACGCAATTCCCCTTCGTCTTCCCGCTTCCAGCGCAAGCCCCACCACAGGTCTCTCTCGCCGCCGCACAAGCTCGTGTAACCCTAACCCTAAAACACTTACACTCGCCTCCAACCCCACGCTCCCATGGAGGGGCGCGGAGGCTAAGCGTAGCCAACCCCTATACCATATCCCCATGGATTGAGCGGATTCCCAAGGCATGGGTACAAACCCTCGCCTGCAAGAGCTGGCCGCTGTGGTGGTGGCGGCGGCGGATTCTGAACCCCGGCCGCGGGCGCGCGTGGTGCGGATCCTAGTGCACGATGCTGACGCCACCGATTCGTCCTCCAGCGAGGATGAGGCGCCGCCGCCTCCTCCTCCTCGGCGGAGGGCGAGGGGTGGCAGCAGCAGCGTCGGCGTAAGGCGCTACGTTATGGAACCGGCCGGGGCAAGCTCGGCCGTTCGGTTCCGTGGCGTCCGTCGGAGGCCGTGGGGGCGCTGGGCTGCGGAGATCCGCGACCCGCATAGCCTCCGCCGACTGTGGCTCGGCACCTTCAACACCGCTGAGGAGGCTGCCAACGCCTACGACGCTGCGAACATCCGCTTCCGCGGTGCCAGCGCCCCTACCAACTTCCCTGCGGCCCGCTACTCGCCTCCTCCAGAGCCAGTCAAGCCTATCATCTCGCTGACTCCTGAACCCGGAAAGGTGCTCACCTTGCCACCGGTACCTGTGAAGCCGACCTTCCCTCTGCAGGTGAAGGAAGAGGGTGGGAGCTGTGACGGCCAGGTCAAGGGAGCTAGCTCGGAGGTCAAGGCGTTTGCACCGAAGCCGGTGTGGGAGATGATCCCCAGGAAGCGCCAGAAGTATCCGGGCTGTGCTGATGGCTCTGGCCTGCGTGCCATCCATGCTGCCTCCATCTATGTGGAGGAGGTTGGCGGGGCCTGATGGCCCAAGTATCCGCAATTACTATTGCTAGAGGTTTTATTGTCTATCTCCGTGGCATCATTAGAACTTGGTATTGTATTATTTTGGTTAGTGTTAAACTGTTGATGTGAAAACCTATGACTCTGGTTGTGTTATGATCGGTGGTGATCTAATAATGTATATATGGTGACATTTTAATATGTTCCTGATCTATGTGATGCAATGTGCCATGCTTGAATGTGGAATCAAACCTGTCATATACTAGTACAATCTAGATCACTTGACATGAACAGTAATACCTAGATATATTCGATGGTTATTTCAGTTGAATTATTTGTCTGGTGTGTGCATGTCAGGTTCGTGGGCTTTTTCGGTTATTACTGTTATAGTGTAATTAAATGTCCTGTCGTATCTGTGCATGTTCAGGTAACCATGACATGATTATTCCTCGTGTTCAATCATTACTTCCTAGTATTTTCATCTTTATATTAATAATGTTCTGCTACTTCTGTGTCTTTTTGTTTGGCAGGTGTCTGTAAACTCCTAGTATCTTTTTGTTTGATATAATTCCTCTTACATTCAATGGCTTCCTAGAATTTGTTTCTCGGTGTCATGTCCGGATTATCCTTCATGTTAAATCATTACTTCCTAGTATTTGCATCTTTATATTAATAATGTTCTGCTACTCCTAGTCTCTTTTTGATTGGCAGGTGTCTGTAAACTCCTAGTCTCTTTTTATTTGGTAGATGTCTGTGTTACAGATTTGGCAGGTGTCAAATAATAATGTTCTGCTACTCCTAGTCTCTTTTTGTTTTGCAGGTGTTTGTAAACTCCTAGTCTCTTTTTGTTTGGTAGATATGTCTGTGTTACAGATTTGGCAGGTGTCTGTTACAGATCACTTCTGATTGTTGGATGAATAATCTGCCTAAGTTTTATTTGGTACTTTCTGTGCTATATGAAGATTTCTAAGCAAATTGCATCTTATGTTATGATTATTTAAATTAGAGCATAAGATCTGGTCATTCAGCATAATTAGCATGTGCCCTTCTAGAACTACTCTGCTTCTTGGTGCCATGGTGAAGTAAATGTTTTCTTTGTTTGGCACGTTCGGAATACAGAATACTGTTGTTTTTGTTGGCTATGGCCTGCGGGGTTGAACTAATTGGTTGCTGAGATAAGCATGTTTTGTGGAGCATTCTTTAACATAAGCACGTGCACGTCTGTATCGTCTGTTTCTATATATATACAGGGACGGTTGTTCAGTGCTTGTTACTTTGACCTGCACGAGGTCTATTAAATACCTGCACGAGGTCTATTAAATATCTTTTTTCTATAAACATCTCTTGAAGTTTTTTATCTCGTTTGTATTTGCGCTTCAGGAAATGATTGTCAATTGATCTTGAGAGCACCTATAGCTGACATTCTTATGATATTATATGATCTCATTATTTTTACAGTTCAGTAGTTTGACACTTGAAAATGATGGTTAATTGATCTTGAGAGCGCCTATATCTTACATTCTTCTGTATGTGCACCTTGTGTCATACAGCTCTTGTTCGCGATATATTTTATTTTACTTTACTGTCATTGATTCTGCACAACTTTGCCCTGTCCATGGAGTGTGATTCGCTGAGTTTCGTTTTCACCTGATTCAAGCACCGAACAGAACAGATACCTCAGCAGACAAGTTTCTGGCCAGCTGAACACAATACAGTTTGCATAATGGGCTGCCAGGCCTGACCCTAGCAAAGAAGAAACTGTTGCCATGAGTCCATGACCCAAGGTCTTCAGAGCCTACAGTTGTTCGGACCATGCCTTGTGCTGTGCAACACCAATGCCGTTGCATACCAGCCATCGTTATCGCCGTCAGAGCGCCACTGCCTTCCTGTGCCCCAGGAAGCCAACAACATCTCGCAGGCCATGTTACACAAATATAATCGACTGGAGCCAAACATCCCTGAATGAATCGGCTCAAAAGGTGCTGAAAGGCTGAAATTGATCGAATAATGTGGACCTTACAATTATGTGGATCTTACAGTGAAGAACAGAGGATGATATCCTGTAAACTACTACCTCCGTTCCAAATTATAAGATGTTTTGATTTTTTTTCTAGATATATTGTTTTTATTATGCTAAACATTTTACTATGTATCTAAACATGGTGTATATCTAAGTACATAGCAAACACTATGTATCTAAAAAATCAAAACGTCTTGTAAATTAGAATGGAGGAGTACTAGGCATAGTAAATTGCAGATTGTGGCATTTTCAGGAATTTTGGAGGGAGTACTAGGCATAGTAAATCGCAGATTGTGGCATTTCAGGAATTTAGGTTCACGGTCCCTGTGAGCAAACAAGATACCATAAGGTATACAAAGCTGATGGTCCTTTTTTTATTTTTATTTTGCAACTCCATAATGTTAAAGGTTATAATACAAGGTCAATAAAGCACCTAAAGCTCACATACTCAGGCCTCTCTAGTTTATCATGCAGTTTGCAGTTCACCAGCATACCACCACCACATACTAGGGTTAACCGTCAATAACAAATAGAACGAATGTTCTAGACCATACAACAACCAACGCTGGATCCAATCAACGATCCGTGACTATCTCATCTTCCCAGCAGTTTCCCCTGTCCAGAGGTGAAAACTAGCTGATACCAGACTCCGCTAGTGAAGGCACATTGCTTCCTTCACACATGCCCATGGCAAACATTGCCCGAAGGCATGGCGTTTCCCATGACGACAGCATAAGACACCTGGGCAGGGCCGGGTAGGAGAGCATAGCTGTTCCTCTACTGGCCTGTTTTCGCACGTTTCATACCACCATTACTGAATGGAGAGACACTCCCAGGATGAGGGCTGTCCTCTCTCAGGGTTGAGTTTAGCATTGCCAGCTCCCTGAGCTGTTGCCTTTTGTAGAAATCTTGAGACTCATCCTGCAGCAGATACCAATATGACCTCGTAAGTCGTATGTGCACGTAAATATATAGAATTTTCCAATCACTGAGAAGCGATTATACACATGTAAAAATATATATACAAGGTTCAAATTCAGAATAGAACAAGTAAAAGAATCAGATCAATAAAAGGTAGGCAGAGTTCAAGAAAAAAAGTTATGTGAGAAGTGAGGAGTAATCGGTAAGTCAAAGGCTTTTTTCCCCTCATCTAGGCACGAATGATGTGGCAAGTCAAAAGGATCTCTCCCAGGTTGAGGTACAAACATGTTCCAGTGGGCAGCAGCAAGGGGTGTCATACAATAATCTAGCAGATATAGATATATGATGTGCACACAGAGTAATAGGATTCATACAAATCAGAAATCACTCACCACTGGTTTAAGCAATTCTTCTATAATCTCCTGTGCATGTTTCAACCTTGCATCGATGATACTGGCAGGGAACTCGGCCTCTATCAAGATATGCAGCGGATCACTCAGGTGCTCATAGCCTGGTTTTCCTCGTAGTTTGTCCTCCTTGAAAAATCATGAAGCCATGTAGGTAAAGCTTATTGCAATGAAGCAGAAACAGGAAAGGAATAGGCAAAAACAGAACAATAAAACATCTGCCTGATCAGCAAGATCAAATAGAGATAGAACAACAACAATTTATGCTAGTGGCAAGGGAATGGATAGGTAAGCCAGGCTAGAAGTACATTGCACAATGTTGTAAAAGTAATCGATTATATTGCACAGAAACCATGAACATTTGTAGGAGAGATACTGTTTAGACACATGAGAGAAATTTCGATCACAGCATTACAAGCTCAAGAAAACAAATTGGGATCCAAAGGCTCCCAAACAACATATTTGCCTGAGAGTTAAATAACCAAAAGGACTTTAATTTGGTGGATGTAGAAAAGAACAGAAACTTTTAGTGGTGAGAGAGAGAGAGAGAGAGAGAGAGAGAGAGAGAGAGAGAGAGACAGAGACAGAGACAGAGACAGAGAGAGAGAATAGAAACTTCTCTTACCTTCCCTGGGTCTTTGATGGAACCCTTTCCTCTAATGAAAACACGACACCCAGTGGATGCTTCTACGCGCTTTAGAGAATTACCTCTAGGTCCTAAAATGCGCCCCACAAAATTGAACTGGGACAGAAGAGAAGAATATATCAACAAAAAGCTTAAAACAGCTCAATGGTTCCTTTGTGTGAACTTCAAGAGAAATTGCACAAGTTGGAGGGCATACATTCGGATAAGAATCAACTGGAACCTCCAGACGAAGAATCTTCTTTACAACATGGGAGCTAGGACTTGGTGGTGCTCCTTGCCAGTCCATGCTAGTTCCTTGAGGAAAACCTAATCTCTTTTGAATTGTTCATATAAAGGCAAAAGCATATACTTTATCAGTATTTGTGACAAAAACACACACATCTTAACGCATGTGAACATGAATGCCAGTACATCTTGCATGCACTTTTCATATTAATTCACTATGACTCTGAAATATCATTGCTAGTTACAAGAACATATGTGGTTCATCTTTATCAATGATAAGGGCCAGGACTCCCAGAGGAAAAAGCACATCCATTTGTGTATGAAGTACAGAAGAGTCACCCACTTGATTGCAAATATATTATGAAGTGTTACCTCTTGTAGTCCACTCCAAGGACTGAACCCATTGCCAGGGAGATTAGCTCTAGGGTTTGGAGAAGACATCGGACTAGGACTTCTAAACCGATGCCTGTCGAAATCGCCAAATCCATGGTTGTGGACAATGCTTGATACCCGCATAATCTCTGAGTGTACAACAAAGGTCAGAACTCAGAACATAATCTCTGGGTGTACAACAAAGGTCAGAACTCAGAAGATCATTTCATTTATATAATAAGAAATAGATAAGTCGTTCATTAGAACTAGGCTAACAGAGGTCAGAAGATGACACTCCCACTACACCACGAGAATCAACAAGAGAAAAATTATCAGCAAATACCAAGACATGCACATTGATATAAATCACCTTATTATGCCTGAAATATACAGATGGCCACTTAGCTATACGGAAAATTATTTTTACAGGATGGTCCAACTAAATAACACCGAAGTCAATCAATGGACACTTGATCAGTCAATGCATTATTCAATCTACAATGTTAAAATAAAGGGAACCCCCTAAAAGACTGGTCTGGTAATATGCATTGAACACAAAGAGTAGAGTCAGTTGACAGATCACAATTGCCCAATCAAGAAAGGGCATTTCAATGCAAAAACAAAGGCTCCAGCATTTCCAGTATCAGCAACAGGAAAAAACTGTATTATAGGAAGCATAATTTCGTTCACAAAAAAACTGTTCATAATAGGTCAGAAATTTTGTTTCCAATAATCAAAGTAGTTATGTGTATGCTGTGTGATGTATTCACCCTCTTGCTGGTAATGCGCACTGGAAAACGTATGATGATCACCACCAAAACATCTAACACTTGCACAATACAGGAGCTTTGTCATTGCTTTTGTGTGCTTCTGTTAAGATCAACTACAGTCTCTAATCCTTTGAAGCATACGAAATATCAATGGGCCATAAGCCACAGTTGTTTCGACCAAGAAGTTGACCTCAACCATCAACATTATAGATTATAACAGTCAGATCGATCGGCAAGGTGGCATTATCTCCCAGAAGTCCGATCATCTATTCTAACCAATGGATTAAGCTTCGCAATACAAATCTAAACCAACGAAACATAAGGAATCGTGAGGACCAAAGATCATAAGCATAGAATCGTGAGGACCAAAGATCATAAGCATAGAGGTAGAATCCAATGCCATCCAAACTGAGTACTCATCCAAGCATTGGGGACATCAGGACATCAGTCCCCAATTCATGATTGCAGATGAAAAGCTCACTCGTAACCAAAGAAAACTCTCATCGGGCATTCGGGGGCCGCAGGAAACAGCAAGGCAGAGATCAAAGGATCTCACCTTGGCTCAGCAGCTTGTTGCATATGGGCAGCACCTGCATGAAAGGCCCCAGCTTCTGGTGTTCGGCGAGCAGCTCGGCCAAGTACTGACTGCACAAGAAACCAAACAAACCAATGAATCATCAGTGTCAAAGCTATCACAGTATCATCAATCGATTAAACCGAACAAGAAAAGGGGGGCAAAGAAGCAATCTTGGCATCAGCAATCGCTGAACAAAACAGGGAAGAAATCCATGCGCCGCTCTACCTATCAACATCCGGATTGCTTCTAATCTGAGGGGAGAGGTTTCGCGCGGGGGAGAACCCCTGGCTGTAGAGCCCCGACATGGCGGCGGCTGTGGCGAGTGAGGGTTGCAATCGAGGATGAGGCGAGGTGATTGAGATGGATGGATACGTAGCCCAGGAAGTGAAGGCGAGGCGAGGAGATGGTGTGCGCGGTGTGGGGTGGTAGGAAGAGAGGTAAAAAGGCTCGCTGCTTTAGGGTGCAGCCTGCAGAGCAGCCAGCGTAGGGGGAGGAGAGAGAGAGAGAGAGGGGGTTGGCAGGCAGCCGCTGCCGCTCTGGAAACCCTTTCTCTCTCTTCAAGGTTGCAACACGACACCGATGGAAATTTGGATCAAAACAAAATACAACAATAAATGGGAAAACATGAGAAAACGCCTCTTCCTGTTTTCTTGAGTCACGTCAACAAGTCTGTGTCTACAAGTTTGCTGCACCCTGGTTTTCCTGTTTGTCAAAAATAATTTTTTTTATTTTTCTTGAAGGTACGCGTGGTACCATCACCGCCGCGTAATATATTTCTGGCTCGCTAAATTGTTTCTGAAAATAACCAGTGTTTTAAGGTAAAACTTGCAGTTAACCTCTCATGTGAAATATGACATAACTCTTGCGTCGACTTTACATGTATTGCTGGTATACAGGAAGTTTTTTTTTTGTGCTTAGGTAGAAACCTTGTTTTCTAATGCGGTGACACCATATTCGACGAATAAAACATGTCGCTATTTAAGTTTGCGTGATATATAGTTATATCTATCTGTGAATTAGTCATCATGGCGTATAGACTTTTGTTGTGTAAGAAAAATAGCATCTTTTTGTGTTTGCAGCGTCACGGAAATTGTTTGTTACGCATATAAACATGGCTATCTTAAATTCGTAACTCATAACCATATTTGTTTGTGTATACAACGCGAGTATTTCAGATTTTTTGAGGGCAAGAATTCCCAAAGATTTACCATTGCAAGATAATTGTGGATCTCTTGTAGCATTTTTTTAATGAAATCTCTTGTAGCATTTTGTAATGCCCCCAGTTACACTGAAATTCCCTGTTTTGTTTTCTCAAAACATGCATGCTTGTGTGTCTAAGTGTGATACAACAGCTGGAAATCTTGGACCCAAGCCAACAAGCTCTAACGGCACTGTTCCTGGGCTGTCCTTTTTGTCATTAGAGCAAAGCTCCAAAATCCCCTTTCCCTGGCTTTCAGTTTGCATCCAGTACATGCGTGGGAATTTTCTGTTAATAACTCAATTTTGGCTGTCAAGCATTTATTTAGTGGCATGGGCCCTTATGACTTAGACTGTACCCGGATTGTTGACCGGTAGTTAGTATTTGCTCCGTCCAGCAAGCAAGCAAAGCAAAGCCACGAGGAAACTGCTCTGTTCGTTTGGCTAATAAATCATGATTGAAAGTATTGTTGATTGATTTGATGTGAAAGAAAAATAATGTTCGTTGACTAAAATAGTACGGCTTATAAGCCAAACAAACATAACATTTCATGTTACTATTTTAACCACGTACGTAGAGGCCCACACAGAGATGGGGGTATCACCATTTTCCTCGGCAAAATGTGTCGGTTGCTGATGAGCATGGTTGTCGCTATCGGTACACAGCAGCAAGGGATCCTATCGGCGGCACTGGGGTCTGGGGAGGAGTAGCTTGTAGAGCTAGAGTGAGTCATTGTGTGGTGGATACGATGCAGAGCTTTCCAGGCCATTGATAGCGAAAAAAATGTACCCATCTATTGCTTGCTGCTCAGAAAATAAATAAAAATAAATTGTGCTCCCATGCATCCTATACATGTATTAGACAGCATATAGAATCTAGTTGACCACTTACTTGAGTTTTTTTAAGAAAAAAAATACGGATTCCATATTCATCATTACATAAATACGTCAAATAAACTCTTAACTACTTAACCAGGAGATAAAAATTTATCTATATAAACCAGCAAATCTTTTGCAAAAGAATCACAATAATGGGTTCCTTACTAAAGTCACTAACATAGGCCATGTTCGCTTGTCTTATGAACTTTACTGTTTCAGCGAAGAAACAGTGTTTTTTTCTTACAACAAATCAGCGAACAGTACTTTCAGCCATAGCTTTTCAGCGAAGCGAACAGGGCCTATAATCAATAATCTCCCTAAGAACGCAGCCTTCCAAAAGAATCACAATATGGAGAATCTTTTCTCGATCAGGGTGGATAAATAAATGTACCCAGCACATCCCTCTCTAAGCCATTAGTAACTACGGATTACTCGAATTAGTTAGCAATGCAGAAAAGTGGCCACGAATGCTTCCTTTCTTCGTTTCTTCCAAACGGGAGAAAATGTTCGTTCGTCGACTCTTGCTAGCCATTTGGTACAAAACGGTGGACCACACTAGCCAACTGACAGAGGCAATACAAGTCTTCTGCCCACAGGAATAATAACATATAAAAATAGCAAAGAAAAACTGGCGAGTATACTTATATGTAATGAAAATAGTAGCATCGGCAGCCGAATTCCGTGATAAGTAGTTGTGATCTGGTTATCAAACCCTCTCTGTGTGTCTCTCTGAGCTGAAGTGAATGTACTCTGGTGACTGGTGGTGCCACTGTTGCCTTTTGTGTCATGACAAGTGAAGTGATCTTTTTCAGTATATGCGCTGAATTGGGTGAACAAACAGGTGAAGCTGTGGAGTGTCTGGTAGTAAGTCAGTAAAAGTTAATGATGTAAGCACCCTGATTTGACTATTTGAGATTTGGCTCTCTTTTCTTTTCCTCCCTCCCAAAGACCCAAACCCCAAGGCCTGACTGACAACTGACAAGAACCACGTAAGCTGGATGCTCTGATCCGGGCATCAACTTTTGTGTTGGCCCTTTTCAGCTGCTGCTTTTACTCATCGGCCTTCACATGCGCCCTGCAGCTGCATGCATGCTCCGGTTTTATGCCATGATTCAGGACGATCAGAGAGAGAGAGAGAGAGAGAGTGTGTACTAGCAAACCGTCCTGCAGTGGCGTTTATACCTTGGGCAGTAAAATACCAGCAGTAAGACACTGCGACTGCGAGCTACAGTTGAATAACATACGCACAGAAATGTTACCAAAGGCTCCGTTTTGAAACATGCACGGCGTTGAGCCGTTGACTCTACGCAGGAGGAAGCAAGCCTAGGCCTTGTTTAGTTGGCGAGATTTTTTGGAAATGGTATTGTAGCACTTTCGTTGTTATTTGGCAATTAATGTCCAATCATAGTTTAATTATGCTTAAAAGATTTGTCTCATGAATTTTGTCTAAACTATGTAATTAGTTTTATTTTTTATTTATATTTAATGCTTCGTGCATGCATCTAAAGATTCGATGTGACGGAAAATCTTGAAAAATTTTTGTAAAATTTTGGGAACTAAACAGGCACCTAGTAATGCTAGGCAGCAGCGCAGGGAGTCAGGGACGGGACGGACACACAGCGCTGATCTTCAAAATCTACGTACTCCCTCCTTTCAGAAATATGATGATAGCGAAACATTCAAAAATTATTTTAAACTATAAGGTATTTTAAGTGAATTAACTCATATAAAACATCAATTGCATATGTATCTACTATTAATACTCCCTCCTTTCAGAAATATGATGATAGCGAAACATTCAAAATTTATTTTAAAGTATAAGGTATTTTAAGTGAATTAACTCATATAAAACATCAATTTCATATGTACCTACTATTATTATCTATCGCCCGACTTAAAATATGATAAATATAAGATCTCTCAACAATTAAGAAAGGGTTACAATATCATTTGTTTGACACCATGATCTATCCTAAAATTTGTAGAATACCTTCTTTCAGGAGGAGAGACATCTTATATCAACTAACAGTAAAAAATAATTTTTTTTATTTCCCACATTCCCGCCACACACACCCTCTCTCTCGCGTCTGCTTCTGACACTTGACATCCTCACGTTTTCAATCAAAATCCAACACGGAACCACGTTTTCAATCCAAATCCATCACAGTAATAAAAGTTCAATACGAAACCATGTTTCGAATAGCGCGTGTGCAGCCACGGTACACAGTCCGGTTTCAAGATATATCTTAGACCAGATGACATGATCGTCATATAAGTGTGTGAGCCACAAGTCACCTAGGTGACCACAGTACTCAAAACAAGCTATAAATTCCGTCACAAATAACACAGACACGGACAACGGTACACACCTGCTAACCGTTTACTTGCGAGCAGCAAGCAAAGCATGGCGACGGGCAAAGATCAATAAACAAATGCTAATGACACGCAACTGTCACGTCCGGCCGTACCACTAACCACGTTACTTAGCTGCGGCGTTTGTCCTGGTAATCGCCCTTTTCGGGACACGATGATCCGGTGGGCCATCAGTGGGGGGCTTATGATGACCGATCCCGTCGACGATGCAAGGCACGAGGAACGGCCGCGCGTACTGCGTACATACATGGGTGGTCGGTCGGCGCATGCAGGGTGGTGTTCCAGTCCCAGTCCCACTCCCAGCAGCGCCCGGAGATTCGCGACGCGTCGCGTAACTAGTAGTATCCCGCATAGGATTCCGACGCCCGGTTGGAGACGGGCGTGCGTCATTGCCACACCGCCCCGGGCCGGGGACGGGGAGGCAGCGCACGTTGCCGCGCCCAGTGGCTGTGGCTGCCTCGCAGTCCAGCTGCCGGTGCCGGTGCTGGATCCCTCTCCCACGCGCTCGTGCGCGCGTGCGTGCGTGCGAGGGCATGCAGAGCAGAGACGGCGCCACCTACCGCACCTGCCCGCCTGCCGCGGGCGCACATGGCGGCGTCATTGCCCCGGGTGCATCCAATGAGCACGGAGTACGTACGTACCCGATCCATCGGTCGGTCGCATTCGCAGCCAGATACGAGATGACAAAGATATCTACCGCGGTACGGCGCCCTCGCTGCGGGCGGGCGGACGGGCTCTGTATCCTATCCTACCCCCGGCCGGCCTCTTCCCGCAGATGCGGCTGCAGAGCATCCAATTCTGGCCTCTCTGCCTCCCCGACACCCCACCGGCAGCGCGCAGGCTGCTGCGGGCCGATCCATCGACGCGTCTGCCTGCCCGGCCGTCTCCGGCTCTCCGCGCGCGCACGGGCCTGCTTGACCGAACAACGCGTCCGTCCACCGTCCTTTCAAACACGCACGAGGACGGAGAGCTCCGGGCATTCCGTCGGACATGTCCCGTTGCCTCCCTCACCATCGACGGCATGCGTGCCCGGCACGCCGGCCGTTGCTGCCCCACCGAACACTCGAGCAGCAGTGCCGCATGGTGCTCGAGCAGAAGCGCCGAGCGCGGCACAGTCCTCGCCTCCAGCGCGTTAATTACCTGTGGCCAATTTGTTAGCGCAAGGTCGGTACACGTGTCCAGCGCGCCAGTGCAGCAGCTAAGGACGGCGAGAAACCACAGATAACCCAAAGGGGTTATTCAACTTCGATTGGCTTAAAAGAGGACTCCATGCTTTACAAAAATATTTTGCTAAAGCTAGGTTAAGTAGGGAAAATGGGATATGCAAATAAAAAGGAATAATATCCTAGAATCTAGTTGTAGCACCTTGGTTGGCCACAGTGGCGGAGGCACAGGGTATGCCAGGTATGCAATGGCATACCCTGCAGCACCGATGAATATACTATTATATACTGAATACGTATTTGCATTTGTATTTATGTAAAAGAAAAAAGAAAAAAAAACTTACCTGGAATGCATCACACCACCACGAAAGGCCCACTTGAGGCACCCCACACGGCCCACGCAGCAAAGAAGGCGTTCACATTGACCACGCCCGCAACGCAGTTAGGCGTAACTTTCCCCTAATCTAATCTCGATAGGAGGCGATGCCGATGGACGGGTGGAGCGAGAGACGCGGTCACGGCACCGGCGCCGTCGGACACCCTGACGGCAGAGTCACAGAGACGCGGTGAGTACGACTACGCCACACTTTCCCAGTTCCCCTGATCTAATCTCTTGTGTTATTTGCTAACATTACAATAATAGATTGTTTCATTATTTAGCATCGTGTTTTTCTAATATTCGTGCAGTTACGAAGAGAACCTCCGACCTCGTGTCCTGTTTGGCCTACACGCTGCCCTACGAGTTATGGCGGCACCGGCCACCAGCGGCATATAGGCGAATTTGTGATCACAATTGTTCTGGTGAGATTTAATCTTTGTTCTTCGGCCTTTTAAAAAAATTCATGTGTACTTTAATTGCTAATTGTTTAGCGCTAAAATTATAGAATCGTCTATCACGGCGAGGTGAAGGATTTTTCTCAACATTAGAGTCGATCTTGATTGATCTTTTGTTCAGTACTCATATCATGTGAGTGATCCATAATCGCATCTGAGAGTTCAATCGTGCAAGCGTAATTTATTTAATTATTTGGCATTGTGTTCTTTGTAATATTTATACAGTTATGAAGAGAAACGGGGACATTGCATCTCTTTTTCAGAAGCATGCAGCAAAGAAGAAGGCTGCGGCAGCTGCTGCTACTTCTAATCCTGATCCGATTGAACCTGTGGTGGAAGAGCAGATTCATGAGAGAGTAGTTGAGGAAATTGTAAATCATATGCCACCACCACAACCGTCTTCACTGCCACAAGTTTATGACACCAATCGCCTTCCACACGATCCAGGTGAAAGACATCCTATTCTAAAATATCATGTTAATGATCAAGATGCAATTCGAAGAGCATATATTATTAAAGGTCCATTCAAACCTTTTGCACATGATTTTCCAAAAAGAAAGATTTCAGATAGAGATCGGGGATTCAACTATTGCTGGATGTATAATAATGATTGGCTTGAGTATAGTATTAAGAAGGATGCTGTGTTTTGCTTCATATGCTATTTATTAAAGAAGGGTACTGGGTCAGACACATTTACTGTTGATGGCTGGAAGAATTGGAATATAGGAGAGAAAGCACTTCGCAAACATATGGGTTCTAAGGCACATATTGCAACTCAAGAGAGATACATTGGCTTTACAAATTCTAAGGTAGCAATTGATTATAATATTGAGAAGTGAATTGATGAGGATCTTCATCTTTATAAGAAAAGGTTGACTTATTCACTTAGGTGTATCAAGTTTCTTTTGCATCAAGGGTTGGCGTTTCGTGGACATGATGAAAGTGAAGAATCTAGCAACAGAGGGAACTTCATTGAACTTTTGAAATCCATGATGTACTGGTTGATCTTGGGGATGATCCTGCATATAAGGATGATTGGACCAAAATACATTTTGTGACCGGAGCGTTTGAGAACTTTGAGTTTGTTTTCTTTGCACACTTAATGTATATTATTCTTGGATATACAAATGAGTTATCTGAGTGTTTGCAAAGAAGGGACCAAGATATTCTTAATGCAATATCACTTGTTAATGTGGCAAAGAAAAGAATGCAAAAATTGAGGTCTGATGGTTGGAATAATTTTCTTGAGAAGGTCACTTCATTTTGCGATAAACATGGTGTTGAAGTTCCTGCTATGGATGGTGATTATGTTCCTTATGGAAAATCAGCAAGGAAAGCTCGTGCCCAAAAGCAAACCAATGATGACCACTTTAGAAGAGAAGTATATATTGGTATCATTGATCAAATAAGTCAAGAACTTGATAATCGGTTTGATGAGATTAATATGGAGTTGTTGTCTTGTATGTCGGCCTTCAATCCTTCTAAGTCATTTGCTTCTTTTGATGCACAGAAGCTACGTAGAATAGCTGAGTTCTACCCAAAGGAGTTCTCAAATAATAATTTGCTCAAACTTGAGTTACAGCTAGATAATTATATTGATGACATGAGACATGATGATAGCTTCAAAGGTCTAGACAATATTGTTGATCTCTCAGTTAAGCTTGTTGAAATAAAGAGTCACAAAGTGCACCATATGGTTTATGAGCTCCTCAAATTGGTATTGCTTCTACCTGTGGCAACGACAAGTGTTGAAAGGGTATTTTCTGTAATGGTTTTTGTGAAAACAAAGTTAAGAAATAAGATGGGAGATAGTCTTCTGGATGGCTGTCTAGTCACTTTCATTGAGCGGGATATTTTCTTTGAAGTTGATGAAGATGATATAATCAATACATTTATGTCATTTCGAAAGCGTCGAATAAAATAGTCACAAAAATAGCATTGTAAGTCTCTGGTTCACTTTTATGCCTTATTTCAATTATTGATATGGCTTTTGAACTATTTATACTATACTTAGTGGATGGTTTGAACTTAACCCATGAATTTAAGCCTTATTGTGTTATTTAGTGCATATATATCGAATCATGTTGTCAATTTTACAATTATTACCGAATTGCTAAAATAGATTAACCAAATTGTATAAGAATTTTTTTAACGGCATACATTGAGACAAAATCCTAGATTCGCCACTGGTTGGCCACTTCTCATACTACCATGGGCATATATCACGCTTGTGTTTCATTTTAGAAGAGGCAACTGAGGCTGGTAGCAGACTCCCGTCGTGTGGATTATGGTCCATACGCAGAGAGAGTGTATGGTGCGGCCCATGAGCTTGCACAATTGGCGAAACGATCCAGACACTCAGCGGTTTGGCGTTTTAGTGTGCCGACCTATGTTGAGCGAATAGTTATTCGAGATTGTATTTCAAACTCTGAGTAACTAATAAAGCTCTCTCTCTTCTTCACAAAAAGAAGAATGTAAAGTTTTTGCTAAAGCTAGGTTTAGTAGGGAAAAATGGAGCAAGGAATTTTTTTAAAAAGAGACTCCATGCATGACAAAGTATTTGCTAAAGCTAGGTAGTAGGAAAAAATGGAATATGCAAATAAAGAAAGAATATGTTTTTTTTTTTTGCTAAACGTAGTACAAAGTATTTTATGAAGCTAGTTAGTAGGGAAAATTAAATATGCAAATAAAAAAGAAGAAAGGAGAAAAAAAATAAAAAAATGTCAGAAGTGGGATTTGAACCCACGCCCTCGTTAGAGGACCAGAACTTGAGTCTGGCGCCTTAGACCACTCGGCCATCCTGACGTCTGATGTTTGTATATGACTTATATTTGTATTATTAGTTTTCTTTTGTATTGCATTAGGTATAACAGCAGGAACAACTAAATTGGACAAAGGGCATTCGATATTCTGAGCTTTTTTTATATGCAATGCCAGAATTTTTTTTTCCAGATTATAGCATAGCGCTTTGTCAATCACAGGACGAAGTTTGACCAGTTCAAAATACTGAACTAGGTATAACTGCAGGAACAACCAAATTGGACAGCGGGCATTCGATATTCTGAACTTTTTTATATGCGATGCCAGAAACTTTTTTCCAGATTATAGCATAGCGCTTTGTCAATTACAGGATGATGAAGTTTGACCAGTTCCAAATTTCACGCGTGATCCACACTTTGTTACAGAAGAACTTATAATAAGAACGAACATACATCCAAAGGGCAATTCGCAGATATGACCACTCAGCCTGCACGGTGCCCATGAAACCACAGCAACTGAAGGAAGATCCTACAGATAAAAATAACATAAGCTGTAAGAAACTTATCGACCACCAAGGAACAGGAAGCAGAATAAAATTCCTGAGTACATAACAGACTGTCATGCAGCTGACTTAACTTTTCAATTTTTGGCAAATTTTGCTGGAGGACACCGCAAAAAGTGTAATTGACTGGCACACACCGCAATGACGAGTCTTTGCCCAGTACCATTACAAATTCGTGGTTATTTGCCAGTGGACACCGCGGTAAATATTTTATTCATTTCTTAGTTTTGAGGAGAGAGAAGGTGAGGAAAATGACTTTGTTGCCCTCGTCTTCAACCTGCTATTCACTGATTTTTGCCATATCACACCGCCGCCGCCTTCACTCGACTCTGCCGTGAGCTGCGGCCGCGGCCTGGTGTCGCTGGCGCTTTTCCCCGCCGCGGCTTTGCCAGCCGGCCGCCCGAGCCTCCTAGGCCCTGTCTCGGACCTTGGCCCTTGGCCGTGCCCCTACCAAGCCGCACACGCCGTAGCCGCACCTCGCCTCGTAGCCGGAGCTGCACCTCGCCTGGTCCACTGGAGCCGCACCTTGCCTCGCCGCTCAGCGCGGGGGAGATGTCGCACCTGCCGCTGGTTGCCTTGCTCGTCATTGCTGCTTCTATTGATGCGGGAGTCGCGAATTGCATAGTCGCATCTCGCCTTGAGCAGGGGGCAGTCTAGTCACCTTGAGCAGCTCCCGATTGGCCGCCTGGCCGGTGGTCGCCGACCGCTGGCACCCGGCAGAGCACGGACCCGGAGGATGAGGCGCGTGGCGCGTCGCGCCTGGGCGGAGGGTGAAGGAACCGAGGAAGCCAAGAAGGCAGGAGGAAGCCTGGGCGGAGGCAGGAGGGCGACGGCGCGAGCAGGGAACTAAACGAGCGCGAGGATACGTCGCGGCCGTGTGGGGACAGAAGAACGAAATCGCCGGCCATGGAAGACCTCGTCGGAGAAGACAAGGCGGCGGCGGTGTGTTATGGCAAAAATTAGTGCACAGCTAGAGGTTGAAGATGAGGATAACAAAGCCATTTTCCTCACCTTCTCTCTCCCCAAAACTAAAAAATAAATAAAATATTTAGCGCGGTGTCGAGTGGCAAATAACCACGAATTTGTAATGGTACTGGGCAAAGACTCGCCGTTGCGGTGTGTGCCGGCCAATTACACTTTTTTGCGGTGTCCTCCGGCAAAATTTGCCTAATTTTTTTTCTTTCTAATAGTACTAGTCCTACTATCCCACACTCCCACTGCAACATCTATGTCTTACCAAACTAGTTGTAGAGACACTATTTATAGAAGTCATCACACACCACACCAAGATCCTAGACAATGATCATCCATAAACTTATTGCAGCTCTAAGCTCTTAATGATAAGAATACTAGTTTCTCTTTTTATTCAAACAGTATAGGTCAACATATGGAATAATAAATGCATTTTAGTGACCTTGGAAGTTCAGATTCCAGGCATCACATAGCAAGATATTCAATTACCTAGACAAGCTCAATGTACGCCATAGGTGCATTATCTCCCCGCCTCGGAAATGTCGGGATGATCCTTGTGTAACCACCCTCTCTGTCCCCGTACCTGTCTGCAACCTCAGCAAACAAGGCATGGACGATATGCTTCTCATAAATAAATGCCAGAGCCTGCCTCCTCTTGTGAAGAGATCCATCCTTTGCCAACGTGACCATCTTCTCAACATACTTCCTCATTGCCTTTGCCCTTGGCTTTGTAGTCTTTATCCTTCCATGCTTCAGCAGCTGTGTGGTAAGCCCACGCAGCAGTGCTTTCCTCTGATCCGGAGGTCTGTTAAGTTTAGGAACACGTCTCCCATGTCGCATCGCAACTATCCTTCCACGAGCATCAATACCAAACAACCGATGCTCAAAGCTTGAGTTCTCTACAATAAGTTTGACAAAACCAGAGAATGAGTTTATAGGAAATTTCAAAAGAATGTTCAAACACAATCCTAGTTTTGTCAGGGCTGCAACTTGCTCATGAAATTTGAGTGAGAAGGCTGATCTACCGACATATGCTGACATCGTAACAAGCCAGACCAAGTTGATACGACCATAACAGGTGTGCAAAACTAGTAGGTATAATATGTACATATTGTCATGCTGAACGGTCAATTAAGCTGGAGCTGTGCGCCAACCGCAAATAAAGAAAGTCATAAAAAAATAACATAATTTATGTACAAAGTTGCTAACTTTGTTTCTCTTGGAGCTTTGTTAAAATATTAGATTTCATATCATGACACGGAATCCGCATTTTGTGGTGTATTATGCATTTATGCACTAACAATTGACACTCCTATATAAATTTATAACTGTTCCCTAACTCGCTACAAACTCTGTCCCATTCATGTTACCGCATCCATCGGCTACGAACAGGCAGCACACTACAATCTCAGTAGGTCGAATAAGCCAGGCATTTGGTACGATTACTTTACCAGCACCGAGGGAGAGGAGATTCGAGACGGGCGCGAGGCCGGAGAAGGACCCGAGGCAGCCGACCGAGGCCGCCGTGGCCGCCGCCGAGGGCGAGAACGACGACCGGAGCCTGCCCGCGGGGGAGGGGCGGAGCGCGGGGAGGGCTGCACGGAGGGACGCCATGCGCCAGGCTGAGGCGGAGATCGCCGGCGACGGGGAGGCGGAGGGGAAGGCCGCCATGGCGGAGGGAGGAGGAGAGCCGGCGAGCTGGGCGAGTGGGATTGGCTAGAGAGGCTGGCGAGGGGTGAGGCCGCTCGGCTTTGAACCGGATAACGTTTGGCATGCTCGCGCTGCGGATTGGTTTGCTCCATGTTGGGCCGGTTGTAATGGGCTTGTTGACCGGGCCAACATGGTCTTCGTTTTGTAGGCTAACAGCGTTTCCACGGACCAAGTGGTTGTCAATGTCAACGTTGCAATCGCCCGGGCTAAGCTGGCATGGCTGTTCTTCGCGAGCCTCAGATTTGGCCATGCCGGCAGCGGAGGCGTAGTCCCACCAGAGTCACCAAGCTTTACGACACGGCAACGTATCACGTGCAAACCAGTTAATCTATGCAAATTTATAAACTATCAATCAGGATCACTGGATGCTGATCCAATGGATAAGATGAGAGAGCTTAAGCGCAAAAAAAAGGATAGCGGTTGAGGGGCTTAAGCACAAAAAAATCCCACCTCTCACCCCATTTATTGGATTAGCATCCAGTGATCCTTGATGACTAGTTTTCAAGTTTGCACAGATTAGTTGATTTGCACCTGATATGTTGCTAATGAGTGTTAATTAGGTCTGATCGGGATGTGGGTAGAAGATAGTACTCCCTCCGTACTTAAAAAAAAAAAGTCATTTTTAAAAGGTTTGGGTCAAACATTAGAAATATAAATCATGAATAACTTTTAAGTTGTTGAGTTTGAAAATATAAAAACCATATGAATAGATTTGTCTTAAAAAATACTTTCATATATATATATATATATATATTCAATAAATATTCTTTATAAAAATAAGAAGTCAAAGTTATACTTTGGAGACCAGCGTCGCTGTTAAAACGACTTTATTTTTTTAGTATGAAGGAAGCACTACTTAATTGATAACTAGAAGAAGAAGCTGAAATAATTCCACTGCTAGTACTCCGGCAAGCATATGCTTGCAAATCTAACAAGTACAACTTTGCATTTTCTTGGTTTGATTTTATTACTTTTCTAAGAAATTTGCTTAATTAATTACCTAGCATTAAATTGTGTATATCATGGAGACCAGCGAGATTACTTATCATTATTTGTGTATATCACCAAATATCAGTATCAGATATTCATATCATGGGCATGTTTGCTAGTCTTATAATCCGTACTTTTTAGCTTATTTTTTTAACAGTGTTTTCCTCTTATAACAAATCAGTCGGAACAGTGTTTCGGCTTGTTTTTCCAGTGAAGCGAATAGGACCCATGTATACATGTTTTATAATCGTAGCAAACTACATCATGTGATTCTATGAACTATGATTCTATCATTCCGATCGATGTGATTTGTATTGCTTTTTTTTTAGAATTGTTCACCATGAAGAAGAGAAGCGAAGACATTATTTCTATTTTTTTTTATAATCGAGATAATCATATTTGATCTCTCTTAGAAAGTGACGGCTTAAGAAGTTAGACAAATAACATTATAAGTTTTTTATTCTCTTTCATGCCTCATTTTAAATTATAAGCATGGTGTTAATCTATTTATATTGTGATATGTGGAAGCTTCTATCTTAATCTTTAAATTTCAAACTTATGCTGTAAATTTTGTGATCTTTTATCAAATTGGTAAATGAGTTTACCGAATTGTATATGAATCCACAGTTCTGCGTAGGAAATTCAACTAGCAGCGGTCGGTACGAAGAGTATTAGCTGTAACTAGTTCGAAATCGCAGTCATGAGATAAGCAGAAGAAGTGCACTCCGTTGAATCTCACAGGAATCAAGAGTAGTTGTTATGGGTACAAACTGGCCATCTTCCACTCCAAAACAATAGATAAGTAGATATCGCACAGGAAAAGAGTGCAAAGGAGAACCAAAAATGCTAAATTATTTGTCCGGTCCCACCCGTCAGCGAGGCAACCACGAAGCACGTCCTGGTTTTCCAACTCCACGAGTTTGGCATTCCGCTACCCAGTCTTTTGGGTTGGTGCAGGACAAACCCGTCCTACCACATCCTCCTGGACCCCCCTCTCGTACACCCACCACGTGAATCTGCGTCCGGACCCCACCTGTCATTGAGAGAAACTACCGTGGACCGGGGCCCATCAAACAACGCGGGGTTGGTGAGGTCAGGTCTCCGTATAAAGCCACCCGCACCCACTTCTCGTACCTGCGCACACCGCTCCTCGCCTCGGCTGCGCGCGCGCGCCAAGCTCGTGGTGAGGTTTTCGAGATGAAGGTGATCGAGAAGATTCAGGAGGCCGCGGGGAATGGCCGGACGGCGTTCTCGTTCGAGTTCTTACCTCCCAAGACGGAGGAGGGGGTCGAGAACCTGTTCGAGCGGATGGACCGCATGGTGGCGCACGGCCCCTCCTTCTGCGACATCACCTGGGGCGCCGGGGGATCCACCGCCGACCTTACCCTCGAAATCGCCAACCGCATGCAGAACATGGTACGTGTGGTGTGGCTACCTCGCTCGCGCTCGCTCGACCGCGCGCGCGATCTGGTCTGATCTGTTTTGGCACCGGGAAGTGATGGCACCGGACGGCCAAGGGAGATCAATTGTTATTGTTGTTCATTCTAATCGTTTTTACATAATTTAGATTATTCTTAGTTTATTCAGTTTAAAAGTGATGGGTTGCATGATACGGTTATGTTAGGATGACAGTGTGGGTGTGAAGTGATGGCTTTTGAGCACTTTGGATTAACACATTTCATGTTATTTATTCAGTTCTGTGATTCTGTCATGTGTACCGTGAGTGCTGATCATTGTTTAGAGGAAGTTTATGCCTAATGCACAGAGCAGTTTTCTGGAAACAAGCCATTTTGATACTTCTGGGTTCTGGCATGTGGTGTATAGAGTCCATGTGCTCTGACTTGTGATTTCCAATAGTGGAATGTGGGTGGTGGGTGATACATCAGTGAGCAAGGTCTTGGTGGATTGAAGTTGAAGCTCATTTGCTTAGTTTTCTAATAGATTATCAGAGGATGAGTTCAGATGTCACTGATTGGATTAGATTGCATGTACGTGTTACTACTGATGGTGGGCATTGGTTCAAGCAGTGGAGTAGCCAGGATTTGTAGCTATGGTGGTCCATTGTCTAATTTTTTTTTAACTGCTAACATGTCGGTACACAAGTATATGAATTACAAAATTTAGTTAATGAAAAAATGGGCATATAGAGTTCATAAAATAGATGAATATAGCTTTCATAACATAGAATTGAAATATTACAAACCCATAATAGTTGAAGAACAATATGTCAATACTTCTTCTTGTTAGGCCTACGCCTTCTAATAGCCATGAAAGTATTGATGATCTCTTCTTCTTTGGTGCATATTTCTGGAAAAGAGAGGCAATATCACCACTCCTCTTCGTTTTTAACAAATCTTCAAGACAATGATATAACATTTCAATTTACCAAACCAATAATCCAATACTGCAAAAAACATATAATTAAAATTAAATCAGTTTTATATACCCTGTGCACTTTTGCCGTTCGTGGCTAAGTGACTTGCCGATTGCTGAAAGCTTGAAACGTGGATCCTCCGATCCTGGCTGAAAGAAGCTGAAAAAAAGGAGAAACATGAGTACAGAGTAGGGCTTTGGCTTAGCAAAAAGCAATTGAGTCTTCATCTTAGGTTTTTTATGTACGTACCTGATGGCTGCTGGGTTGCTGATTGCTGCTCACTGCTTAGTGTTTGCCGTCGTGGTCCTCGTGGAGTCGCCGCGCCGTCCTCGATGGCCGCACCCGCGCCCACCATAGCAGCGTCGCCCGCCTTCACGGCAGCACTGCACGGCCGCATGGAGGCGTTGTGAATCCAGAAGGCAGAGCAACGACGTACACGGTGAATTCTCCATTGCGGACTCTATCCATGGGCTTCGGTTGGGCTGAGCGCAGGTTGGTCAGCGGCCCACAGGGACCATCCTGTAGCTCCGCCCCTGGGTTCGAATGTTGGGTTTTAGGCTATCCGCACCGAGCACCACTAAACAGCCCTGCAGCACGTGGTGGCGTACCGCGCGCTCGCACCGCGCGCCTGCCCACCGCTACTTCTAGCGTACCGGCCGCACAACACGCTAAACACTGTAGCGGAGAGAGAGAGAGAGAGAGAGAGAGAAAGGGGGAGGGAGGGGAATAAAATATGGAATAGTGGGTATAGAAAATGGAATAGAGATAACATGGGTGCGGAAGAAATGGATATAGAGTAGAGAATCTCGATAACTAGGATAGAATATTCCTTTTTAGAGTATGAAAATAGAGGTTGACGAGTGCGGATAGCCTTAGAGTCAGTGTTTCCTCAGCTACAGTTGTGCCAACTACATGCATAGTGCTGAATCATCACAAAACCAATTTCGGCTGCTGCTCTTGCCTGAATATTAGACTGAGATGTATAATCTTGGTTGGATTTGATCATCTAGATTTAATGCTATCCTGGATTTGATCATCCTTGAGATTTAAAAAAAGTGAACCCGATAAATAGCTATCCTGTTCTGAACTGATTCAGTATTATCGAACTAATTTATTTGGAGAGAGAGTGAAAAAACTTATAATTCCCTCTGCAACTAATTTATTTCTTATAATTCCTCTGCATCTTTGATGTATCCCTTGCACCGCATGCATTGAATGCTTATAATATTTTATATTGGTTCTGTTTTGTAGGTGTGTGTGGAAACTATGATGCACCTGACATGTATAAACATGCCAGTAGAGAAGATTGACCATGCCTTGGAAACCATCAAATCCAATGGGATTCAAAATGTTTTGGCCCTCAGAGGGGATCCTCCACGTGGGCAAGACAAATTTGTGCAAGTTGAAGGCGGATTTGCTTGTGCTCTTGATTTGGTAAGATTGCATTAAAGGCAACATAAATCGTTGAGTACATTGGCATGACATGAGCGTGATGACTAGTTTATTGCTGCTGCAATGGCTGTTATATTTTGGAAACTAGATCAACCTATCTGAATCATCAAAGAAACCACCTCACATTCAAACTGTCTTATGTCTTTTACTTGCAGGTGCAGCATATTAGAGCCAAGTATGGTGATTATTTTGGCATAACTGTAGCTGGCTATCCAGGTCAGCTAGCCATTACATATCTTTAGAGGGGATGGTTTCAAGTCCCTACCCTGTAAATTGGATGCTTTATCTGAAATACCTTTTCCAAATGTCAGAGGCACACCCTGATGTGAAACAAGGCGAGGGAGGTGCTACATTGGAAGCATATAGCAATGATCTTGCGTATTTGAAGAGAAAGGTTCTCTTTACTTTCTTGATTGTGTTTACTTTTCTCAATTCAAAATGATAGCAGAATATATTTTTGTTGGTTCATGAACCAAACAATCGAATCGCGGTCTCCTCGCATTGCACAGGCGAGGGTAAAGCTTGCCACTGACACCCTTTCCCAGACCCCGCACAGAGCGGGAGCTCTCTGCACTGGGTACGCCCATGAACCAAACAATATGTTGAAAACAAACGTATGATGTTGTAAATCATGGCGCTTTATATGTTTTGTCAAGCATAATATTTTTGTTTGCTTCTCACTCTGTTATACATTTTCTCTGTAGGTTGATGCTGGTGCTGACCTTATTGTCACACAACTTTTCTATGACACCGACATCTTACTCAAGTTTGTGAATGACTGCCGCCAAATTGGTATTACTTGTCCCATTGTTCCTGGCATAATGCCAATAAATAACTACAAAGGTTTCCTGCGCATGACTGGGTTCTGCAAAACTAAGGTAAGATCTGTTGCTGGTAGTTCCATCATTAGTAATTGTTTGCGGACCATTCTATTATCAATTTGGCATGGACTTATGCTGTTATGCATATATTAGCATTTCACTTGGCTGATTTTTTTTTATCTCAATACCTGAATTTGAATGGTGCATAGCTACACCATCTTCTCATAATTTGAACTTTCATGCCATTATGTTAATGGACAAATACTTTTGCATTTTTTTTTCAAATGTTTTGAGTTCTCACTGTAATAATCACTTTGAATGTCTAACAGATACCTTCTGAGATCACTGCTGCACTGGATCCTATTAAAGACAATGAGGAGGCTGTTAAACAATATGGAATCCACCTTGGAACTGAGATGTGCAAGAAAATTCTGGCTAGTGGCATTAAGACTTTGCACCTTTACACAAAAAACATGGACAAGTCTGCTCTAGGAATTTTGATGGTAATTTCCATGTCTGAACCTCATTTTTTGTTCCGACCTCTTACTAACAACTACTTTGTCCCCACCAGAATCTTGGATTAATTGAGGAGTCCAAGGTTTCAAGGCCATTACCTTGGAGGCCGGCAACTAATGTTTTCCGTGTTAAAGAGGATGTTCGACCTATATTCTGGTAGTATATTGGAGTTCTTTTATGTTAAGATGCTTGATGTCTTTGTGATATTCTAACCCAATCTAGTTAATGATTGTGCAGGGCCAACAGACCAAAGAGCTATCTTAAAAGGACATTAGGTTGGGATCAGTATCCCCATGGACGGTGGGGTGATTCTCGAAACCCATCATATGGAGCACTTACTGACCACCAGGTAATTTCAGTATCTCTGTGTTCTGGTCTACTTTTTTTTTTTGTGTGTTTACTGCAATGTTTTAACGTCACCTATGCAGTATGCAATATTTTGTATCATTCTCAGGGTGATACAACATCTTCCAGGAAAAAGGGTCAAGTTAGAATGAACATTTAATATGATTCAGAGATATTTATTCTGTAATGAAAATATTATCATGGACCCCAAAAGGGTGTTTCACTATAGGATTTTTTCACACTGCCACTGCTACACCTTTATGTAGACTTGATCAACAAATATCTATTCAAAATTACTCAACTTGGCTTCTGTGATGACTTTGTCATAAAATCCTAGTTGTATGTAATCATCTATTCATTTTAAACAGTTCACAAGACCACGTGGACGTGGTAAAAAGCTCCAAGAGGAATGGGCTGTTCCACTTAAATCTGTGGAGGACATTAGTGAGGTAACTGTTAAACTACGTGATACATTATTGGTCTGCATGGCATAGAAGTTGTCATCTTTAAAAGTCTTCTTTGCTAACCCTTCTTAATTCTATCCCAGCGCTTTGCAAACTTCTGTCAAGGGAAACTCACGAGCAGCTCATGGTCAGAACTGGACGGTCTTCAACCAGAGACAAAGATTATCGATGACCAGTTGGTGAAGATTAACCAGAAGGGTTTCCTTACCATTAATAGCCAACCTGCTGTAAATGGAGATAAATCCGACTCGCCTACTGTTGGTAAGTTAATTGTATTTTGTTTTATAATAGGTGGTCCTGGGTGTTGAAATATAAGTGAATTGCCCACTTTCCCTATCAGCTTAAGCTTCTAGGTTACTCAACACTGAGCAGTATTTTAAGCATCTTCCAATTTATTACAGGGATCCTTGAATGCCAATACTTCATGTTTTAGTCCGTCTTGAAATCTTAAGTAGGAATTGTAGTGCTGAGCCAACACTTATGGGTATCCGCAAACCAGGGATTGGGTTCACATCCATTGTAATTATCAGCATAGTGCCACATTGTCGGAGAATCTCTGCTGCATATAGAAATTCTTGGCTTTCAAGATCATCTGGAAATGTCTAGGTCGTTCATGTCAAATACTTGCTCGAACTAGAATGTGAGCATTTCTTACCTGTTTATTTATGTCCTATTCTGCAGGTTGGGGTGGTCCTGGAGGCTACGTTTATCAGAAGGCCTACCTTGAATTCTTCTGCGCAAAAGAGAAGTTGGACCAACTAATTAAGAAGATCAAAGCATTCCCTTCTCTCACTTACATTGCTGTGAACAAGGATGGAGAATCATTCTCCAATATTGCAACGAACGCCGTGAATGCTGTCACATGGGGTGTTTTCCCTGGCAAGGAGATTATCCAGCCTACAGTTGTTGATCCAGCAAGTTTTATGGTTTGGAAGGACGAAGCATTTGAAATCTGGACACGGGGGTGGGCTTGCCTGTTCCCTGAGGGCGACTCATCTAGGGAGCTACTAGAGAAGGTACTTGTTCACTCCAAATCTTTAGGCTTGAACATGATGTTTTGTTCCGTATAATAATGCAGTCAAATCAGCTCCATCTGTAACATTTTTTAGGAGATTTATTCCTACAGTAAAGTGCCATGTTTCTGGTTCAGAAATATCTGCTCTACTGCATTTCTGCTAAGAACATAAGAAATTTTAGCCTGAAATTAGAACTTTTAGTCTCGGATTGCACCTGTGTTTACAGCATTGATTTTTGTAAGACAACCTGTGTTCACAAAATACGCAAGTGAAACCAATCTACACGTTGTTCATCTTTCCAAACTGTATTTTCAAACAGATTTCTTGGCTGCTGGCTTTCAGGTTCAGAAGAGCTACTACCTGGTCAGCCTCGTCGACAACGACTACGTCCAGGGGGATCTGTTTGCTGCCTTCAAGATCTGATGATGCTCGTTACGGTCTGTGTTGTTGTTGTATGGCTGAATCACAATATTCTTGCTTCCCCGACTACAGGTCTGATCGCCGTGAAAGCTTCTGTTCATTTGAGTTCGGGGGAGTCCGCTAGTCTCATTTTTCCTGATTTCTTTTGGCTTACTGGAACTATACGATATCAATAAGAAATGAGCTGTGTTCACTTTCCATTTTCACCATGTGCAAATGGCGCAATGGCTAGTTTCAAGATGTAAAATTCGTTGTCTAATTACACAGGTTGGTATTGTATGTTAGTCTAGGATGCGCTGCTCGCATTGCACTATATTGTGCTTCTGCTTGGTGGAAATAGATAGTGATCGAAATATGATGTTCACAAGTCTCCCCCCATTTGAATTTAGCCGTTTGTTGCGGAACTTCGTTTCGAAATCTGATGTTCAACAATTCTCCCCTAATTTGAATTTAGCCGTGTTTTGCATAACTCCCTTTTCCAAAGGAAGTTCTATCCAATATCCATAGGTAGCACGTGTGTCTATGCCTGTTGCATTGAGAGACCACCACGTTGCACGCACGGCAGAACCCATCACCCGTTTGCTGAAATCACCTCAAACACTGCCGTTCCAGTGAATCACACGCAAAATGGCGCAGAACAATGTTTTAAGTGGCAAATTCTAAATGGTTACTTGTTCTGTAATGATGCTATTAAGAAGCTGCTGCAACTCACCGCAGTCTCTGCAAGCATGCGGCATGCCAACACAACACATGGCAGGGGACACTGACACGGTAGTACTTGTAAACAAGAAGAGCAAAATTTCGTCGGTTCTGTTGAGGAGGAAGTGAAAGCGAACAGCTACACATATATATCTACCGTCTGCGTTGAGAGTGAAACTAAAGAATGAGCCGCGCCAACACTGGGCCGGCCGGCTCCATGTACGCTACACCGACACCCTTAACCCTGTAACCCCGACCAGGTTCAGGTTCGACTCCTATGCTGTATTTACAGAGTTCGCAACCTTGCAACGCCGTCTTCTCCTCATCCATGGCTCCATCCTCGCCTCAGCTCAGAATGGTCCCAACCCGGCGGCTCCGGCGGGCTGGTTCCCCTTGACCCTGGGCGACGCGAAGAGCGAGGAGTAGAAGTCCTCCCCGGGTGGCGGCAGCATGTCGAGGCCGCTGTACATGCCCTGGATGTCGTCGTAGCTGAGGTCCACGAACAGGTCGCTGCTCTTGGTGGCGTTGGCGGCGGCGCTGCCGTCGTCCACCTGCTCCTTCTTGGGCACCATCATCATCGCCGCCGCCGGGTGCTGGAACGCCGGGAACGAGTCCAGCTCCGGGAACGGGTCGTTGTCCACGATCTCCGACTCCGGCGTGCGCGTCTCGCCCCACGAGTGCGAGTGGGAGTGCGACTGCGAGTGGGAGGTGGTCATGTCCATCGCCTCCTCCTTGGCGGCGCCGACGCCGGCGGCGGACTCCTTCCCCAGCTGCATCTTCTCCCACTCGTTCTTCTTGTTGTACAGGCGGCACAGCACCCAGTCATCCAGCTGCACAAGCAAATCGATCGAAGATAGAATTAGTATAAGCTAAATTCGTTCAGCTCAAATCAAATCAAAGGGATCATCTTCAATTCCGTGAAAAATCGGCTTACCCTGAGCGATCCCTTCTTGGCGGCGGCGGCGCGGCCGGCGTCCGCGAGCCTGTACTCGTGCATGATCCAGTCCGTCTTGACCCCACGCGGCGCCTTCCCGGCGTAGAACACGAGCGCCTTCTTGATCCCGAGCGTGCGGCCCCGCGGCGCGACGGGCTTGTCGGCGCCGGTGGCCTTCCAGTAGCCGTTGCCGGCGGCGCGGTTGGGGCGGGACCCGTTGGGGTACTTGCGGTCCCTGGGCGTGAAGAAGTACCACTCCCTGACCCCGAAGAGCGCGCGCTCCGGCAGGTCCCAGGGGTCGAACTTGTAGAGGTCCACCTCCGCGATGATGGGCACCGGGAGGCGCTGCCCCGCCGCCTTCCGGCACAGGTAGTGCTCCACCAGCTCGTCGTCGGTGGGGTGGAACCGGAACCCCGGCGGCAGGTTCAGCTCCGCCTCCGCGTCCCTCTCCCTCCTCACCGGCAATCCCATGGCTGGCTTGGTCTGGTTCCTTGCTTGCTGTGCTGGCGATGAATGAACCCGACAGGCGGCGGCCACACCGATCGATCGGTCGGGAAAAGCGGTGGCTTTGGCTGTCTGTTTTCTCCGGCCCGCTGTGTAAAAAAAACTCGCTCCGGCGGCGGCTGGGCGCTGTCGATGGTGGGTGGCTCGGCTGTGTGTGTCCTGTGGATGGGTTCCGCGGTGTTGTTGAAGCTGAGAACCGCGGGCAGGGGCGGGATATATAGCGGCGGTCTGGGAGCTTCGGCCGGGGGAGGGGGATAGGGGTCAATGCGAGTCGGTGGCTGCGGGAAAGCGGAGGTGGGTTCGGGAGGGGGAAAGGTGGCACGTGTGGCGGGGGGAGCGCGGTGAGGTGGTGGGTTTGCGGAAGGTGGGGGAGGCTCGTGGCCCCGGGGATTGGACGGGACCGCGCGGGTGGCGTCACGGCCGACCTCAGCTGAATTGGGACCGATGCCCTTTTGCACGCCGCGGTTGCTCTCGGGCGGCGTGGTTCTTGTGTGGCCGTGCAGCGGCGGCGCGGGTGCAGTGCAGGAGGCACCGTTTCATTCATGGCTGCGGGCAGGCACCGCACCGCCGCACTGGCGCGGGATGCAGATATGCTGCCATGGGCAGGCTAGAAGAGAATTTCGTCCTTTTGGGGCCCGGGTGCATGGCGTACTAGTTTGTGATGAGAAAATGAATTACACATGTCTCTAGTACGTGTCGGGAGACAGAAAAGAGGGTGTGAGGTGATAGATACATGCGTGCATTGTCAATGAACGGGAGTGATACTTAGGGCTCGTTCGGCTGGTGCAAATATCAGCCGACAAACACTTCCTGGATGAAAAACACTGTTTACGCTTATCATAAATTACTTTCAGATTTATCTAAATCCTCCGAACGAATAGGTCCTTATCCGTTCGAATTAATTTCATTTTATTTTATTCATTCTTCATGAGCCACAGCCTGTGTGATGTGAACCGGCCGAGAAGTGGTCCGTTCACCGAGAGCATTCGTCGTGTTAGGAGTATATGTCCCGTTCGTTGGTCTGAAACTTGACTGAAAAACACTGTTTCGACTGGTTTGTTGTGAGAAAAAAACACTATTTAACTGATTTGATGAATAATGAACTGTGAGGAGGATCAGCCGGCTGGCTGGATGAATCCAGACCAGCGAACTGACCCTGTAGCTGGCGTGTTCCTTTCACCGAGAGGATTCGTGTACCTATGCGTAGGCGTAGCGGCACCATCCCCTGATCGGCTGATCCCCTGTGCCTGTGCCACGCCCCGCGTACGTGGAGTCCAAGCCACCCGCGCCGCGCCAGATCGACACATGCCGGCCGAGGCAGGCGCGGCAATGATAGGCCCAATTATTATATATATATTACAGGGCAAGTGGTGCGTGGGCCTGCCGCGCGTCGACACGAGTCCCGCCCCTGTGACCCCGGCGGCGGCGGCGCTGCCTGCCGTGCCCCGTGCCCGCGACGTGGTTGGGTGAGAACGAGGTGCGGGGGTACGAGCCGCGCGCGGTGCCGTCGCTGTCGGGTGTCAGTGCTGGCGTGCGTTCCCGTGTGCCGTGTGCGCGCTCGCGGACTGTGACCGCCGCTGCATCGTGTCGGTATCCTATCCGCGGCGGAGACGGCCGGAGACGTAAGGTACGGAGCCGGACAGCCGGTGGTGCTCGTCTTGGGCGGTTTGACGGGCGGCGCTCGCGCACCTACACTCACCTTTGTATGTGCTCTGGCCGTGGCCTGTGGGTCGTCGTGAAATTTTTGTATTTTAGCCCTTTCTAAAACCTATTTCTACAAATAGATCCTTCGTGAAACTTTTTTCAGAAATAGACCAAAAGCTCGGCGTTACACAATAAAACGCTGAGGTATTCATGTAGGCGTTACGTTAGACTACGCCAAAATCTACCACGTCGTGCCAACGTGGCGTGTCCAATCGTGTCGGCGTGAGGTCATTCAACGCCGACCTTGTACGAACGCGTTACGTCGTTTCACGCCGAGTTCTAGGTACTTTGAAACGTGACACCGGCGACTTGCTGGCATCGGTCTGGCGACTTTCTACTTTGCGCAGGCGGAGACTTCGGCTATCTGCGCCGTTTATATCCCTTTAGTCTGGTAAAACAGGTCACGTATTATTCAAATATTACTTAACCGGCCAGGTGACATATCGTAGTCGATCTAATCTCTTGATTTCTTATTAGCTTCTCTCTAGACGCTTCCTTCCGGTAGATACCTAAATTTATTGAGTACTAAGCATATTTTTTACCTACTACATATGCACGTGCGGTACGTGTCTATCAAATAAAAGATTCATTAATAATAGAAAAAATAACAATATATTTTGATAAGTCAGTACATGGAAATTTAGAATCTGTCTTGCCAAATTCAGTTATTGTGAAAATTTAGATATGCAACAAAATCAATTACGCTCCTCCATTCCAAAGTACTATAGCTTTATTTGACTTTTTTTACTTCAAGTTTGACAACTCGTCTTATTAAAAAAAATACAAACATAGTCAAATTTAAGTCATTCTTGCGAACTTTTGTTAATAAAGTAAGCCACAACAAAAGAAGTGATATTTTGCATAAATTTTTGAATAAAACGAGCCGATCAAACTTGAGGTAAAAAAAGTCAAACGAACTATAATTTGAAACGGATTTAGTAGCTCATAAATAACCAAAATTTAGTTTATAGAATCCTTGAGTTTTTCAATTGGCCAAAAAGTAATTAGGAGCAGCAAAGAAGGGTCTCTCCAACCGTTTCTAAAAAAGTAACTTCTAAAATATCAAAAAGTTGGATCCGCAGGAAACTTTCTTGGTGCCATGTGAGAAGATCACACAGCCATCCACAAGGGGCAGCATCGCCTAGCCAGCCACACAAGTGTC